TCTTCATAATGTCTCTTGAATAATCTTTCAATATCTGGTAATTTAATTTTTTAACATCAAAAGTTCCCTCACTCCCTTGGTAAGAACACAAGTCTCAACGAAGTGTTCAGCATCGCCAATCTGATTACAAATAAGGCAGTTTTCATTGCCCTGGAGGTGAAATCTTCTAAGGTAACAGGGAAATCTACCGCGTCCTGATAACAGCTGGTTGATACCTATATCATTGTATAAATTCATTTTATTGTCAACTTGTATTTTATTCAGATATTTGATCTTTTTCTCGGAGGAATCCCAATTTTCTTTCCATCTATTGTTGTAATAGTTTTTCATGATGGTAATCATTTTCCGCCTTGCGGGTTTTATAAATAATTAATCGACTCCATCCCCCAGGGCAGCTTCTTTGGCCAGTGCATCCGCCCTCTCATTACCTGTATAACCCACAAGTGCTTTATTCCAGTGTAATTGTATGGAATGCTTATTACTAGCAGCATAATAAAATGTCTTTATTTCCTCCAATAGTTCATTTTTTGGCTCTGGCTGGGAGAGCACCGTCAAGACCGAAAGAGCATCAGCATAAACATGAATAGAGTGTCGTTTACTAAGTCCTTCAATGGTCCATCTGAGAGCTTCTTTAACCTTTTGAAGACGGGATGGTCATTATAGTGGTCATAGAGTCCTCTCTTTGAAAAGACGGGGTTGTCCATGTCTTTTTCTCCCATTTTCCAGGCTGAAAAGTGGGGTGAAATGTCAAATTTGACGTCCCTGGAGTTTAAACCACTTATCTCTTCCAAAGGTCTTCCCGTTGCGACATAGAGACACCCCTCTGAGAATGCATTAAACTACACACAAGCATCTTTGTTACAAATAGGAGGTGTTTGCTTAAAGGGGGGAAAGCATTCGGTTCAAGATTCCCCGTCCTTTGGTAGCTTTTACTGCTACCAAAGCCCCGGCCTCAAAAGGTTAATGCAATGATTTCGGCCTGATGCACCGAATTAATGTCATTCATCCTAAATGTTTTATTATAAATTTCTAAATTATAAAAATAGACCACGAATGCAGCCCCCGACGCCGCCCCTCAAAACCAGAGCCATCAGTATATATATCAATTTCATTCATTTCAAATATATTATAGTCAAAGTTTATAACATGTAAAATATTTGAATTCATTCCCTTAAAAACTGCATATTTAATAAAATCAGAGCACACTTCTAAAATCATTGTATAAAATAAAATCCTGTAAACCATTACCCAATACAAATTTTTCATAGTAAAATTGATAATAGATAGAGAGAGGGGGTACACCGGCAAGTATACACAGAACCTCCGTTGAGAGAGTTCTAAAAGCTCTAGTGATGGTCAGAAGCCAAGCTCTCTGCATAGAGTCCAATTTAGTTCGCAATCTTATAAGCTCCCCTGCTTGAAGTCCCCATGCACCTATTCCGTAAATAATCTTAGGTAAAATAGCGTTAATATAAATCTCTCTAAGGGGGGTGCTTTTGTTAGTCAAGGTACCTGGGGTAAAGGTATTGTTGTAAAAGGTTAAAACTTTCTCGATCTTCCTTTGAATATCCTTAAAGTGCGAGATAAAATTCATTTTACGATCAATAATAAGCCCCAGATACTTAATCTCCTCTTTGAATTTAATATTATTTCCTTCAAATTTCAATTTCGGCGGTCTAGTATGTGCACCACCCCTAGGAAAAATAATAGCATGAGTCTTGTCCATGTTGAATTGAATTTTCTGTTTACAACTCCATTTATTAAATAAATCATCAACTATTTTGAATCTTTGTTCTAGTTTTTCCAGTGAACACTCGTAGGACAAGACCATGATGTCGTCGGCAAAACAAATTATCTCCGTGCATGGTAAATCAATTAATATTTCGTTTATCATGAGGCTCCAAAACAGGGGAGCACTGCAGGAGCCTTGTGGGCATCCTTTCTCAATACGATATTGTGAAACAAATCTGTTATATTCATCTTGATAAAGGACTATTCTATTCTTCAAATAATTTCTTATTAGACCAAAATGTCTTCCATTAATGCCAGCCCTCTGGAGAGTGCAGAGGAATAGAGACCAAACTATAGCATCAAATGCTCCTTGAATATCAAATGACACTAAGGCTACATGATAATCATTTCTCTTCTGTTTAATAAAATTAACAGTATGATAAAGAGCCAGATCCGTCGACTCTTTATCATACTGTTAATTTTATTAAACAGAAGCCCTTCATAAATCGATATTGCCTTTTACTAATAAAACTTTCAGAATCAAGTATATAGCTAATTCTGTTAGTAACAAGTTTATCAAGAACCTTTGCGAAAACTTTTAACAGGCAAATGGGACGATATCTATTACCTTCTTTAGGTATCAAAATAATTCTGCCAATTTTCCAGCAGTCCGGGAAAGCCATCAAAGACAAACATTTATTATAGAGAATAATAAAAGTAGATGGATAAAATTCAAATAATTTCTTTATAATATTGGCTCCAATACCATCAATTCCAGGGGCAGATCTAATCCTTCAATTTTTTGATAACACAATAGATTTCTTCATAAGTAAAGAAATCATTACCAACAGTGTGGTATCTTCCGGTACTTCTATTTTCTTTCTTGATTATCATTTCGTTGTTCACCATTCAAAATTTTCATCTTCTTCTCCAACCAGTACATCACAGTCGTTCAATTTTAAAATTTTTCTTATTATTTTGTCATAATAATCTTCCATTCTATCAAAATCATTGTTTCCCTTTTCTAAAATTATCTTTTTTCTCATTTTGCTAGTGGCTATTTTATAATATTTGTTATAATAAATAGAGTTTTCCAAAAAAGAATTTTCTCTAAAATCTCTTTTAACCTTTTTAATCAATTTCTTATATATGTCTAAGTTCCTTTTGTATCTAATTTTCCTTTCTATACGCAGTCCTTCAGGTATGTTATTAAATTGTGAGCTTTTCCTCGGGGCCCGAACTTTCCTACGCTGGACCTCCAAGGCCCCTGTCCACCAGGAGATATGTTTTCGATAATTACATGGTTTTTTAATCAACAGATACTTATCCATTTTTTTCTATGATTTTCCATTTCCATTCAAAACAATATCATTCAAATCCTCTGAGGTTGAAACCAAGTTAATTTTATCTTCAATATCACTAAGAGCAACTCGACTTCTTTTAATCATATTTTTGATTCTCTTGGAATCTTTTGAATAAATTTTTCGTGTATTATTCCCCATCTCTAGTTTACCGATTTTTATTAGGATATACCTATGATCACTGAGTGTCTCATTATCCAAAACTCTATAGTTCACTTTATCCACTTCCATATCTGAGGAACAAAGAGCCAAGTCTGTCCATCCTTGACCTACAGGGGACAAAAACGTTGGAGGCAAGTCTTGAACATTTAAAAGCTTCAAATTATGTTGTAAAATAAAATCGTAAGTTAAAACACCCCTAACATCCATTTCATTCGCCCCCAATTAAAATTTTTTGAATTAAAATCACCTACAATAATAAAACTATGTGTATATAATCTAAAAGAACTTTCCAATTGACTTAAATGTATATCCAAGTCCTCTGCAGGAGAAAAATAACTCGAGATGATAGAAATACATATATTTTCCAAATAAACGGTTATAGCCACTATGTAATCCTTAACTAAGTCGACTGTAAATTCCAATCTTTTATCCACTACAATGATTGCGGCTCTACCATCAATAGCATTAACCACTCTCCACTCCCCCTTGGCATGTGCAATTTTGCCCTTTACGTAATATGGCTCCTGCAGTATCATAATGTGTATGGTCTCCATCAAGTTCTTATTTATTGCAGAGAGCTGGCAGGCAGCCGCAGCACAATGATTTAAGTTAATGCTTAAAATATTCATAATAATTAAAACCAAATCAATTTCTTTAAAATCAAGATAAGAATGTATAAAACCAACTATGTACAGTATAAAATCCCCAAAATATAGTCTTTAAAACAACTTGTATAAAATTTGTATAAAATTCAATCCACGGAGTGAATAAAATAGTCAATAGTTAAAATTTCTTTATTTGGATAAAATCAAAGAGCTACATACCAGGGGTGAGGGCAAAATTCTTCTTCTGTTCTTGTTCCAAAATATAATACTTACTTGTGTTGATCAGAACAGGACAAAAATAAAATAGAAGATAATATAAAATATAAAATATACGAAATAGTCCCGGCCGACAAAACAATGATTCAACTAAATATCCAAATTTCATTTCATGTAAACATTACAGTCTATCGAAAAAGCATCATGTAAGGTATCAAAATTTGTATTGAATTTCTTATTAAATTCTTTACAGTTTATGCAACAGTGAGATTTACTCTTACAAGAAGATTTGTGATGTTCTCCCGAGCAAATACTACATACAACTTCGTTTTCACAATCTTTCTTTGTATGTCCAAAAGATAAACATTTGAAACATCGTTTCGGTCGTAGAAATAACTTTGCCAAGTAAGACTTCCATTCAATAAGTAGACGTTGATCCTCCAAGACCTGTCTTTGACATTCACTGTTAATAAAAAAAAAAACTCTATGGGAAACTTCTTGCTCATTGGTCCTTAATTTTAAAAATTGGTTTGACACATTCTTGGTTACATAAACAATCACATTTCATTGCAGCAACTAATTTCTCATCAGGCAAGGCATCAGAAACATTGTAAATGATCAATTTTGGTCGAATAAATTTACGTCTTCTCGGCAAAACCAATCCATTCAATTTTCGACTATTCACCACTTCTTTTTCCAAAACCTTGCATTCTTCTTTACTCTTCAGCTGCACCACCATTTCACCATTACGTCTACAATAAGCCTTTACAACATCAATTCCCACATCGCTTGGATTTAAATTTTCACGAATTTCATCATAAACGTCTACACCTTCTTTCAATGGTTTCAAAATAATTTCATTACTGTTTTCCTTATCCAAATTTTTCTTCTCCCTATTTCTAGTCTTCTTACTCTTAACTTCAATTCATTCATTTTCCTTATTCTTCTCATCAACACTAAATCTATCCCGAAAATCAGCAATTCCATCCAAGACACGATCTAATTTGTCTTCTAACTCTTCGTGTTTATAACTATTAACTTGATCTAAGTATCTCTTGGATACCCATTCCGAAATAAATATAGTTCCATTACTCAAGGACTCAGCTAACATCTTCGGAACACGTTTTTCTCTTAATATCTCTACAACACTACTCATTTGCTTGAGAACTGAAACAGTATCATCTTTACTATCACTCTTAATTATCTCAGTAAGATCCTCAGTATTGCTATTTTTTAATTGAGACATTGTCGGCCAAGGGACACAAGTAAACTATTTGCACATATAAGTAAATAAAATCAGAAATAGTAATAAAATATAAAATCAAACTCTTCAATATAGCAAAGTTTCTTCAATATTTTTTTAAAAATTCTAAAATTCAATATAATATCCATAAAGCAATAAAATCAGTATCTACAAAGCTTAAAATAATTTTTTCAATAAAAACGAGAGTTCAAGCATCAAAAATTGAACAAATTGACCAACGTGCTAGAAAACGTCGAACATAGTGCACCAAAAAATGTCAGCAATCTCTGTCGCCGTGCAAAAAGACTTCCTGATGTGGTGCACCAAAGGATTATTCCTTCTAGAAACGTAAATCTTCAAGTGTAAACAAATGTCAGCCTTGTTAGGCCTAGCTCACTCAACGATTTCAAGTTTAAATAACTTTAATACCATGCAAGATAGAACTGTGCTTTTAAATATATACTTAAATAAGACATGTAAGAGTATAAAACATCCGACAGATTAAAGTTGCATAAATTATTCATCAAATAATCAATGTTTAACTTACTCGTCCATGCGAGAGAGGCGTTTCCGTGTAAGCAAAATTTAAAATCATCATATCTTGACAAAAATCCAATTTCAGAACTTGCACAATACCTTTTTCGAAAGCGGAACACCCAATAAATAAGAATTTTATACTTTCACAAGCCACAAATCAATATGCACGGAAAGAATACAACTTTAAGCAAGAGCACACAAACAACCATCCAACATGGATACCGACATGCGCAGAACGAGCAAAATGTTATAAGGTATTTTCTTCCTCCTTTCTGCATGCCTTCGTGGTGTAACGTAGCAGAGTCGGCTCGTATTTCGAGAAATCCAGGTTCGAGTCCCAGCGAGAACATTGCACATTTTTCATGTCTTCAGCTACACAATAACCTAATGATGACTCTACAGTGTCTTACATGCGTTTAAATTCATTGGTGTTTGTTTTAATTTGTTTGCAAAAGTTTGTCTTCTGTGTCTAAATTGCTATATTTTTCTTTTATCTTCCATAAAATGAATACTAGTGACAATGAACTACATCATGCTGATAAATAGTAAATAGGTACTGAAGGTAATAAATAGGTACTGAAGATGAAGGTGAAACTGCTGATTTCTTTAGAATTCGAATCCTAATAATGTGAAAAATTAGAGACAGAAGACGTTCATTACAAAGTCTTGCCCACAGAATAAATTCTTCAACGGACTACTAATTGTATACGCCGCGAAGTCCTTTCAAGTATTCGGGTCGGACGCTCTGCAGCTTACAACCACATAAGCTTGATAACGACTACTAGTTATTAGCAAATAGTTCTTCTGCCTTCCTTCTTTGGAAACGTAATTTGGTAGTTCTTAGCAGAATCTGATATTTGAGAATTTGAATTGCAATTTCTAACAGAATTGAAATTCTTGGCAGAACTCTTCAAGGCATTTTCGCAACGCGTTTTGATTCGTCACTAAACAGTATAAAGCGCAGTTACTGAGTTGGCTCGGTGTCTATCTTCTGTAACTGTTGTATAGCAAGGCAAAATATCAAACGCAGTTATTGAGTTTGCCTAAACACCTATATTTCGTAACTGTCATCTAGCATGGCAAAATATCAAACGCAGTTACTAAGTTGGCTCGGTGCCTATCTTCTGTAACTGTTGTATAGCAAGGCAAAATATCAAACCAGTTATTGAGTTGGCTCAACTTCTATCTTCTGTAACTGTTGTATAGCAAGGCAAATATCAAACGCAGTTACTGAGTTGGCTTGGTGCCTATCTTCTGTAACTGTTGTATAGCATGGCAAAATATCAAACACAGTTATTTAGTTGGCTCAAAGCCTATCTTTTGTAACTGTTGTCTAGTATGGCAAAACATCAAACGCAGTTACTGAGTTAGCTCAACGCCTACCTTCTGTAACTGTTGTAATATAGTTTAGGCATTGTTTTCTTATTATACTGAATTAATTGGCATATATTGTACTGAGTGATTGATCTTAGAAAAGGAGAATGAAAAGATGGAATAAGTTAAAAATATAATTAGCAAATAAAATAACATAAAATTTAATGGGACGCAATAAAACGACGATATAAAGCACACAGTTTATTACATCTACAAGCAATCTATTACTTCATATCTTAGGTAAGAACTTTCTAACGAGAATAGTGTCTTATTTATAATATCAGGACTTCTGTTCCTCTTTACTTGCTTTGGAAACATGAACTGTCCTGACTCGGAACAGGGAGCTTACTCAAGCTATGTTCAATAAATTGTGAAGTAGACAATACACACAGGAAGGGTATACGAAACCCTTTATTTTTCTATCTTTACAGAGATTTCCGGAACTTCGGAATACAGAGAGAAACCACTTGTGGTCTGAACGTAAGAATATAAAACTACTAACTAAAACTCTAACTAAAACTAACTTTGGATTAATATACAAGTGCCTAACTTTAAGATTGGCCGTTATTTAACAAAATCCGTATGTAGTACAGAGAGCTGCTAAAACTACGATACGTTTGAAATTATCAAGAGGACTAAACCTCTGGCCTTGAAGGCAACCAGCAACCGAGTAAAACTACTATGGCAAACGGCCTGCTTCTAATAACTCCTTCCACTCTCTTGCTTGGCAAAAAGCCACAACTTAAGTACTTGGCGTTAACAAGACAAATTTGCATAAATAAGTTAAAGCTTTTAATTCTGGCCGGAAGTAGAAAATAAGAAGTGATAGTAAAGATTTAAAATAAAATAAACCTTAGTAAAACTTAGGATCCTTACAATATTACACGCTAAAATTTATATTACACGAGTATAAAGCAAAACAGCGGCCAATTCATTCATCTGGTGGATATACGGAGTGGGCAAAATTTCAGCACACAGTACTCTTATTTATTTACATCATACCGAGTGCAAAAACTTTGGAAATATTTGCTTTAATCTCTTACGCCTCATCTGTGCAACAAACTAAATTCCCAGAAAAAGAGTTTAATATTAACTTTAAGATCATAATTAATGTTTCATCTCTTTGAAACTGATTCAACCTGCAGAAGAATTAATGAATTATTAACAAACCTAAAAAGTTATTCAATAGTAATGCAGTTACTTTCTTTTCAGGAAATTAATTTCCAACTTACTTTAAAGTTATTAAAAAGACCTGGGTTTTATTGAATTCCAATAAAACTTTCTGACTGAAAGAGCAATGAGTAAAACTTTTCTTTTGAAGATGAAATATCGAATGTAGAGTAAACGTGAAAGACACTTGTGACTATTCTTACTTTAGAAGAGTACTGATGAAAGAAATATTAATGTGAATAACGATTCCTAGATAGAATAATTGACTGAAATATAAAACAATAGTCCTAATTGACTGAAATATAAAATGTCTTTGGATAAAGGGCTTCTCATTTTTACTTCCTTGTACGAAGTAAAGGAAGAATTGTAATCATTAAAAATTCCGGGTATCCTATTTCAAAGAAAATATCCAATTTAACCACTATCGAATGCAATTTAATGATGTTTTCGCTTAACAACTGTACGCAAGGAAGAATAAAGGACTCATTTTTTGTCAAACGAATTATAAAAGGTAAGAGATTTTTAGTGACGTCTATACATGTACATAGGCATATATGTATTCAGCATAACCCAAAAAACGAGTAGCCTTAGAACATTCAAATTTTGTATAGGAATGCTATTATTAGTAGACATTTTGGGAATTTGGCCTAATTTGAGTCGTAGAATCAAAAGATGGAAAAAATTTATCTGTTATTTCAGAAAAAAGTCTAATTTTGTGCCAAAATACCTATGTTAGAACAATGATATTATATATATATACGTAATAATAAAATTCCATAGTCAAGAATACACTTAAAATTCTAACTGTGTGTTCTTTTTCATTTTTAATGACGACGTTCTCTTATTTGAAAGTACGTGGAATTAAATCCACAGCCCCGTAGTCAAGTTGTTTTTCCCGCCTTTTCTACACGTACAGTTATAGAATATTCTGGAAATATTTAAAGCGAACTGGATTGGCTGACGAGGCTGACGTCATTTCATGGAAGCTCCGCCTTTCCAGAGGCTATAAAAGGACTCGCAAAAGAATATCGGGGCTTTTTCTTAAATGTCACGATGCAGTAAACCTTCATACAAAATATTATTAGTAGTTCTTTTTAATTTACTCCGGATATCTGATTTTGTTACTGCTATTTCTCTTGACCAATAATAAATGGATCCTGTTTTTTAAACTTATCGTCTGATAATTTAAGCTACGACTACATTTATGATTTTTCAACAATCTATTTATTCCTGACAAAAGCTGGTACATCACATATATATATAATGTATGTTCTAAGTAACGCTTTCGAGACATGGCAAGTTAAATTTCGACAATGGGTCCAGTAGCATGGGAGATATAGAAATGTCATTTTTTGTGTGTGTGCATGGTGTATATGACAAAATTTCAGATCTTACAGAACTATCTTTTCAGACGTAAATCTTCTTTAAGAACAAGACAGACAACACATTAATGAAACCCGTAAACACAAATATGTACTTACTTGTGACATACCTGCATAGTAGGTCACTCGTTTCTTCATTTGATAATTTGTGCCTGGTATTTCGACAACACATTCAAACCCAGCAGTTCCTGGAGAGGACAACTCTTTGTGTTCGAAATTCCTGTGCAGGTAAGCATTATACAAATCTTTAGAGTTCGTCGTGGATGTCTGAACATCTTTTACGACTGCTGGCGATCTGTCCATGCTCAGTATTCTGTAAAGCTGCAATTTCGGTCGAGGAAAAAGTCCTTTTGCTTCACAACTGACGTTCAGGTGGCTGGAAGTGCTGTGGTACTTGACATCCACAGTCTGAGCTGGAACTAGGAGTGAGGCAAGTTAAGTGACGTTATTATAATCATAAATAAAACACTAACAATTGTAATCATAACTGTAATCTAAATATAACATTACAGACATAGTTAAATGATCTCTTTAACTGAAATAAAAACTTATTTCACACTTCTTTAACTCTTTCGCATCGAGAGACGACCAAATCTGTTTTCAACAAACATCGAAAACGCCCGTGTTTACGAATTTGTCTTGGAATAGTTTTCCTTTCCCCCTACGGTTTCATCCATTGTGTGCAGTTTCACCTTAGGGCTGCATTGCAGCTGTGAACGTCAATAGCTTTCCGTATTTCTCTTTTATTTGCTTCAAAAGAATGATTGACATGTCTTTTAACAACTCTCGAAACCAATGAGCCATATACTAACGTGGAGGGAAAAGAACTAGGTAAAAAATAAACGAGGCGTTGGGGCGGTTTGCTGTTGCCTGAATGAACGGGCGTTACGGGCGACTTCGATGCAAACTGAGGAGATCCCTTAATTTTTGGTAAACTGAATATTGCACGGTGATGTGTATTATTTACTCGACGTTTTTGCGAGACTGGAGAAATCACAGAAAAAGGATCTTGAAACTAAGAAAATATTTATCGGCAAGTCTGGTTTCTATAACTCGAAACCTGAGGAAAGCTGCATTGTCTAATAGATTAATTATTGCAAAAAAAATGCGTTAGCATGGCAAGCTCTGACTGTTTCGCTTAGAATTTCTTTTGGGTAAAAGTAAATTAATACCTATCATGTAATCTGAAGAACTGCACTTTTCGTTGCAATCAACGACACCAAACGGATATATATATAAATTACCACCCTGTTCGCTTAGCTCAGTATTTTCATTCTTATATATTGGTAAATCGTACATTTTTTGCTTTGTTCTTATGTTTCGGTTAAGGTTGTTATGCCTTTAGCATGCAATAGCTGTAGAATTATCAGCAATTTAAAAGTGGCGATAGGCCTAACGAGGCAGCGATTCGTTCCCATTTGAAACCCTTAGTAGAACAGTGAATTCAGTGCCACAACTTCGGTATCTTTCTGCTCAATGGGACCAAAAGTTAACTTTCTATTTTGTGCACCGAAAGTTTTGTTATCCTGCCCTCTGGCTGCATCGATTGTTTTTGCTTAGAAACTCCAATTTCAATAGTAAAAGTTTTATAAACTGTTTTTAAGTGCACTTGGTGTTTCAGATTTTTCTGTATTTTACAATTTTAAATGAAGAAATTTGAATTTTTATGTACTTTTGCCTTCTAGCAAAGCGAGAACTGAATTGATTGAATGAGAAATATACCTCTAATGAATCTCGGATTTCATTAGAGAATATTTCTAATAAAAGTCGCGGAAATAGGATGTAACTTTATAAATAAAGTGCAGCAAAAATTGCATATAATTTAATAGGCCATACAAGGAACTCATTTGATGTCCACATGAGATATTTGTAAATGAATCCATTAAACAAATGCATATTACAGAATTATGTCGTACAAATTGTTAATGAGGTACCAAAAAGGAATTTTTAGTCCAAAGGGATTTGAATCCCGAAGGACTATTAGTTTCGTTTTGGCATTTTGCGTCGGACGGATAAATGTCGGTTCACTTTTCAAACTGTTGCCATAAAATGTTAGAGTCCTGCATTATATTTGAAGAAATTAAATAATGAAAATCTGCGTAAATGTATGTATATTTCTCGCATTGTCATAAAATAACGGTACATAGAGTCATCGAATTTTGAATAACGTAATCCTCCAACGAATATGAGCATGTGGAAGACCAAATTTGAAATTTGAAATTTGTTTTATGATCGATTTCCTATTTTTTAAACTTTGACGAATTTTTGATTAACAAACTCAAGGATTTCAAAGCGAGCAATGGCAACGTTGTGCAGAAAAAACATTTTTATCTCCAGCGCGTGAGTCTCTGTATCGGAAATTCTAAAGATATGCTCGTTTTAAAACTATTTTGCGATATTGCTGTTGCACTGGATCTTATGGTTTAAGTGCGAGGAACATGATATTTAATAAAGAAAGGTAACACACAAAATGTTAAAAAAACGCCCCTTTGGACGTAATTTAAAATCTGAAACATTTCAGGTTTTTTTTTTTTTTTTTTTTTTTTTTTTTTTTTTTGTGTTGTTTGTTTGTTTGTTTGTTTCTGTTTAAAAATAATCTTTGTCTTTACTTTTTAAAATAAATTTAACATGCCTTATTCGGTTCTGAAAAAAAAATATAAATTATGTATATTCTTGAACTGAAGTTTTTCAGATTAGTAACTCAGTTGCAGAATTATTGAAATATCCAATATATCTGCTTACACTGCACCAAACACAGAAAACGTTCACCATAATGCTTAAAGCTTGTGAATCTCCTTTATGTAGCTTTCTCTTTTAGCTTTTAAAAGAAGTACTTCTGCTAGAAAGTTTCTCAAATGTCGCATAGTTGAGAATTCCCTGTGAGAGGAAGCAGATGTCAAGAATTGGAAATTTAAGTTGCTGAAAGTTTCAGTATCAGAAAGAGTAGCTGTTAATGAACTAAAATGTAACTGTTCCATGTACATTACTTTTGAAGGCTTATCTTTCTTGTTACTACTTCACTGACTTATCAAAGTAATCTTTACAAATTTATATTTGTTAATATGAGTAAAAAAATAAAAGATAGCTTAAAATCTCTAAAAAAAAAGTTATTTCTTTATTTCTTAAAAAATAGTGAATTTATGATACAAAGATTTACGATTTTGTTACACAAAATAATAGTGTCTCTCTATCTATTGATTGTACGAAAGATTCGCATTTAATAAATGTGTGTTTATCAATTATTATAATGCGAATTACTAATTCAAGAAATCCCTTTCACATTTTTTTTTAACTTGATAACACTGGATTGTCCTCAAAACTGAATTTTGTTTACTGCGCCATTTCCCATTTATTCAGGTAATACTGTAATTTCGATCCAAATGTCTATATAATGCTCATAATGATGAATAAAATTATCAGACACCAAGGAAATAAATAACTGACAATATCAAGAGAGGATACAGATCTGAAAAAGTGAATCTTGGTCACCACTAGATTTGATCCGGTAATTCGAGAAATGACTCTCGGTTTGTTTGGGTTTAGTTTATTTGATTATGGCAAAGCACTCGAATGCTGTCTGCCTCATGTATTTTCCAGTTACTTTCGAGGCCCGCCAGCGGCCGAGCGGTAAAGTCGCTGAACACTGGTAGTTCGGTCCGAGGTTCGATTCCCGTCAACGGGCTGGCTGCATGAGTGTTTCTGTGGTTTTCCCCATGTGTAACGTGTATACGAGCGAGCTTCCTTTAGAAAGTCCTCCACAAAGGCATCCCTCCCCTTAGGCAGATATCTCTAGTGTGCTTTGCCGTAATTAAATACACCACTACCAGCACCAAATATTTTCATATCATAAGCCACTAAATGTTCTCACAATTGTAGCTTTTATAAATTTTTGTGAAGCTCCAGTTTTACGCCATTTCTGTTTCGCATTAGTTATGTTTAAAACTCTAGCTAGTAAAATATCAGGTTTAAAACCCTGTGTTTGTTAAAGTTGTTTAAAACTTTGCTTTTTATCTTTTCCTTTTTATACATTTCATATATAGTTTAGTTAAATCAATGTTTTATTTGATGAAAATTTTGAAATCGTTTCACAATAAAAAAAAAATCTGATGTGCACACGACAGGACTTCTTTATACGACCTATTAAATTAAACACAATTTTTGCTTCATTTTGTTTAAGCTTATTTTCTGAAATTTCATTAGAAATCTATTCTAATTCAAATACTTCAAATTTCATTTTGCAGCAAGGCACAAATAAATAAAATCTCAAAGACATGCCTTAGTGGAGAACGTTCTAATGGAAAATGCCTCGTATACACGTTGCACATGGAGAAAACCACGAAAACAAACATGCAGTCAGCCCGTTTCCGAGATTCAAAGTTCAGACCGAACTACTAGTGTTCAGATACATTATCGCACGGCCGCATATTTATCATGTTTCCTGCTTCGAAATAACATAATGACTCTACAGTGCAACCGAACTTAAAAAAGTGGTGGATGATGATTCTCAACTACCAGAGTTTGGCGAGTAGGTCAGCTAATCCTCAATCGTCCTTTGAAAGGGGAAATATATAAGGTACTTGTCCCGTCTTCTTAGCATGCCTTTGTGGTGTAGTGGTCAGCACACTCGCCGTATTCGAGAGGTTCGAGTCCCGGCGGGGTCAGTGCTCATTTTTCACATCCTCTGCTTTCAAAAAATGCTTAATGTCTCAACAGTGGCGTCCCGGCCAAAAAGGGTGGTGGATGGTGATTCTCCACCACCAGGATTTGGCGACTGGGCTGACTTTACGTGATCAGGAAGCTTTGGGGAATTTTGAGAGAAGGATATTGCATTCCATACTTGTTGGGGTCCTTGTGAATGAATCGTGTAGAAGATATGGTTTAGAGCTATGCAATATATGTAAACAGCTTGTTGTAGTAAAAGTCTTCAAACTGCAGAGACTTTAAAGGGCTGGTCAGCTGGACGAAATGCATGAAGATTGGTGTTGTCAGAAAATCTTTCTGAAAATGCCCATGTAAATCAGACCTGAGGATAGAACCTCCAGGTGAGATGGATCGATTGTGTTGAAAATGGCTTAAATATTCTAAAGGCGAAAACCTGGAAAAAGTTGCCAAATTGCCAAAAGCAGAGATGCCTAGAAGGCCAAGGCCCACCTTGGTGTGTTGAACCAATGACGCAGAAGAAATATGGTTCAAGACTCTCATATAAATCTCCTTGTGAGTAAAGGCGACGCGCACCTGTAATGGTAAGTTTCATTTCCAGATGTAGAGTTAGAAGTTTTAGATGAAGAGCTAGAAGTAGACATCCACTTTTGAAGTAGTGAGTATTTATGAAGTATAATGAAAAGCAAAACGGGATATTTTACAGCATTACACTTCGCTGGAAGTTCTGGAAGTTATGTCTTAGACAGAAAGTTCACTG